ACACAGACACCCCCCTGCTCAATGCAGACCCTGCAATCCTCTAGATGCTGCTTGTGTGCTCTCAAAAGCAAAAGATTCAGCCACTCAGAGGCAGCTCTGGAGAGCTGAGGAGACTGTGAGTATCTGCATCCCAGAAACACAGCAGCCCAGCAGGGTACAGAGCCAGTGTCCCTGTGCAGCCCAGCCCAGGCAGCTGAGTCCTGCAAACCCCAGGGACAGCAGCTGTGACTTTGCTGTCACCTCATCCAGGGTGACAGCAGGGCTGAGGGGCTGAACCTGCCACAGCCCAGCCTGTTCCAGCTGAGGAGGAATTGGCTCCATCACCTTTGGCAGGAGCCTCAGGCTGCTGGCAGCCACCCTTTGGCTTCCCCTTGCCCCGATCCTGCTCCCTCCTGGTAGCCCAACCCCAGCAATTTCAGTCACCATCGCTCTGCCTAACCTGCCTCTGATCTCCACCCTCCCTCCAGACATCACCAGCCCCCCCAAAACTCTGCCCACAAAGGAACCAGGTCCCTGCTGCCCACAGTGCCCCCCACGAGTGGCACCCCAGGACAGCAGGTGGGCACACGGGGCTGCAGGAGGGCTGCAAACACAGCACTGCCACCCTTTGGCTAGAAAACAACAAAAAAAGACACTTCAGTCACAATTCAGTCCTGCAAACAGGACCCAAACCCACAGTTTGGGGGGGAGGAGGGGGTGGGCAGGTCCTGTGGCAGCTGGAGGCAGAGGGAAGGGGCAGAGCTGGAGCAGCAGCACGAGCTCCTTCCCTTCTCCAGACAACAGACGGGATAGCTCCAGCAGGAACAAGGGGAAATCCAACAGGAATCAGAGAGGGCCAAAATATGAATAGCAAAGAGCAGTGATGGAGAGGCTGATGTACACCCCAAGCAGGACCTGGACCCCACGGGGAGCCTCTCTGGTGTTACAGGGGGCTTGGAGGGACAGAGGGGCTGGTTATTGATCCCAGCAGGTTAAAATCCTGCTTTATCCTCCCAAGGCTGCAGCCTCTGAGGGACAACACTGCACCAGGAGGAGCTGGATCACAGCAGTGGAGGCTCCTGCTTTGTAAAAATGCACTGAAATAAATGCACTTTGTAAAAATACACTGAAAACTCTCCTGCCCTCGTAAACAGGGCTTTAACTGCAGCAAGCCCAGCGTTCTGCCCTCCAGCCTCAGCTGGGACTTGCTCCCAAAACCCTGCTATTTCTGTCCCTCCTCCACAGGAATTACTGCAGGGGAAAGCAGCCCTTGGAAGGGTTATCCTGGAAAGCAGGGCCAGCCAGGGATCTGAACGCTTGTGCTGTCCAAGGGCCTGCACAGATCTCAGGCATCAATATTTAACAAGCTCTGGTTTGAACTGCACACGAGGGGAGAGGGCAGCTTGCTCCTGCAGATGTTACTGGCAGGAGCCAGAACTAGCTTTCCCCCAAATACACCATTTTTGGGGGATGTTTTAGTTCCAACTAAACCAGACATGGGGAAAAACCAGAACACGAGCCACAGAGGCTGATCAGGCTGGAAAACGGTGAGCTGTTCCTGCACTGAGGAATGGGGAGATGCACCCAGAGCACTGAGGAAATGTTTTTCAAAGAATTAAGTGCCCAAAAATTCCCGTGTCCCACCTCCTGGGGGTTTCTGAGCACAGCACAAGCTGCCAGCCTCAATCCATCCATCCTTCAAGCACAGGGAGTGGGGATGGAGCAGGACCTGTCCTCCAGCACCATCCTCACCCGGCCCTCCTCGTCTCTGCTGGGGCTGACAGAGCTGGTGTTTGGCTCGAGGAGGCTGCAGCCAAAGGGAAGAATCACCAACACATGGTTAACTGGCGGGGAAAGAGCCGCCGCAGCAAACACCTTGACCGACCCCGCGGGGCGCCGGGGCCGCCATGGCCCCCGCCCTCACCACTCACCCTCCGCCCGGCTTCACACGCGCCGCAGTGTCCCGCGTGCCTATTGGCTGTCGGGAAGAGGGGGCGTCTCTCCCAGCCAATCGGCGGCACCCTCATTAGACTCGACCCATCCCTCAAGCAGGAAGCGGGCGGAGACGCGAGCACCGCGGCCTCGGCGGGGAACGGGCGAGCGAGGGGACTGGCCGCGGCTCTCCGTCCGCCGGGGCATCCACGCGGCTGCCCGGTGTGAGGGAGGCCTCCCGCCACCGGCGGCCCGCCCCTAAACACCCCCAGAGACTGACGGGAATTGTAGTTCCAGCCCCGGCGCAACCCAGCCCCCTCAAGCCCACGCAGACTACCACTCCCGGCATGCCTCACGGCCCGCCGGCCAATCGCGGCGCGCTTTGTTGCGGGGGTGCGGCACGCGCGGAGGCCCCGTTCAAGATGGCGGACGACAGTGAGACAGCAGTGAGGCGGCCACCGGCGAGGCCTTCGCGGCCGGCGGCGGAGGAGAACGACCACGAGCATTGCAGCGACTGCGAGAACGAGGCGGAGCATGGCTCCAACCGGGGGTGAGCGGCGGCCGGGACCGCGTGCTACGGCGGCGGCCGGGCCCATTGAGGCGAGGAACGGCCGGGAAGTGCGAGGCGCCCCGCCCCTTGGGTGCGCTGATTGGTCGCTGGGCAGCATTCCGGGCAGCCATTGGTCGTGGCGCCGGTCAGTCTGGCGGGGGGGCGGTGCCGCTGGCGCCCATTCACGCCCGCTGCGGGAGCGTGTCCGAAGCTCAGCAGGGTCGGGCGCGGCCGCGGCGTGGATGGGTGACGGCTGCGGTGCCTGCGGGGCGGCCGGCTGGGGCCGCGAGTGCCTTTTTCGGGCAGAAATGAGCCCATTTAGCAGCTCTTCCTGGCCGTGCGTTAGGGCGCGTCTCCGCACATTCCCTCTGCCCTCCCGCAGAAGCCTCAGCCCACTCGTGGCAGCTCCATCCCCGCGGTGACACCCAGGGTGGTGGCACGGTGGCACGCGTGACGCTGCTTTCCGGAGCATGTGGCATCCCCGGAATAATCCCGGGTTTCTGCACACTCATCCCGTCGTTATCCTAAACACAGCCCAGGGTTTTGCAAAGCTCTGCCTACATTGTCTCGTGGTTGGAGGAGCGCAGCCTCCAGGGGTATGGAATGGGGGAATAACAACAACAACAAGGCAGGGAGCGAGCACAGGCAGCGAGGCAGGTCCTTATCTCAGTAGGGAAGAGCTGGAATGCTTAACGTAGCACCCTCATTACTCACTGCCTTAATTAATACGATGCAAAGCTGCCTCACTATGCCTGGGATTTGAAGGAGAGGCTCTGTCCTGGTTCCTGTTGGGAATGGCAGCATCAACGTGTGGCTTTCCAGAGCTTTCCAGCAGTTCTGCACTTTGCTTTTCCTGCACCTGAGCCTCCCTGGGCTCCTCCTGCTCTCCTGGTGCTTCCCCAGCCCTGCAGAGCAGAGACCACAGGCTTGGAGAGCCCTTCTCCCTCCAGCAGCAGCTTTCCATTGGCAATCCCCCCTTCCCAGGAACCAAAGCGAATAAAAGGTCACACAAGAAATATCACAGAGGCTTTTTTTATGACAGCACAGCTGCCCATTTATATTTCATTTGCCTCCCGGGTGTGGCACCGTGTCTCAGTTTAATCGGTTTAGCTGTGCTTGGGGAGATTTTTATTTTCTTTCCCTCTGACATGATTAGGTTTGTGGAAGCCAGAGCTGAGCAGAGGAGACCTGGTGCTCAATCACTGCTGCTCCCCAGCCCAGCAGTTCCTCCTGCCCTTTGCCAGGAAAAGGTGTGTTCTGGAGCCCTCCTGGGGTCCTGGGCATCACTGGCCACCTCGAGGAGCTGGGCCACCACAGGCAGCCTGAGGAATATCCAGTAGGAAATAGTTTGGATAGCTTGGGAAATAACAGCAGAAGCGTGGCTGGTGAGCATGAGGCAGGGAGGCTTTGGAGCTCTCTGGCAAAGCCCCAAAAACCACCAGGGAGAGACCAAGTGGTGGGAAGGAGGATGGTGTTCTTGCTGCATGCACAGTCATTAATTCTGTTGATTCCATAGCATCCATGCCATTGCAGTGGGGTGTGGGAGTGTTTCTGGTCACCCCAGAGACACTGTCCCCAAAAACAGGGCAAGGGAAGGGCTTTGAGCTGCCAGGCTTTGTAGAGCCACACTCTGAGCCCTGCGTGCCAGTTTGTGCTGGGACTCACTGGATCTTGGCCCTGAGGTTTAAAACATGAAAGTATTCCTTAGTGAAAGTGATACTTCCTTTCCTTTTAAGGACAGGAAAGAGGAATTGAGTTTCCTCAGCCTCAGTCCTGTGTCAGCACGGGGAAGTGGCTGCACTGCTCTCTGCTGTGGTTATCCAAGCTGATTTTCCAAAGAAAATAATCCCATTTGGTTATTTTTCGTATTTCCTTTTGTGTGAAGGGGGCTGCTGTGTCCCTGGTGGCTGTGGAGGATTTGTTCCCTGGATTTGGAAAGGCAGGAGCATTGCCTGGGCTCAGCCTGGTGGGGTTTGTCACCTCACAGGCAGCGAGGGCAGTGGTGACAGCATGGGAGTGTCCCGGTCCCTGAAACAGTTCAGAACCACCTGGGGAAGCTGTTCCAGGCAGGAGGAGTTTGGGAGTGCCCTGTGGCACAGCTGGATGGGGTGTGAGGGGACAGAGGGGCTTTTCCAGAGGGGCTGCAGTGGGTTTGGCAATCCCTGCCTGCTCTTGGCCACAAAAAGGGGTTCCTGGGACAGGCACTGAGCTCCAGCACATGGGATCAGTTGTGGGTGTAGGGAGCACACTGGTGGCATGCTGGGCTCTGGGAGCTGAGCTCTGCCATCTGGAGATCCTCCCTTCCTCCCTGCCACAGCCCCTAACGAGATTACAGAGATTACAGCCTAAGCACCGTGCCTGATTAGCCCCTGGGATGGCAGAAGGATTTTCCAGCACCTAAATACAGAGCAGGGATCTACTCCTTCTCATCTGACACTTTCAGCCTCCCACCAGGCTGGGGGGGCTGCCCACAGCTGGAGTTGTTCCCCTTGTGCTTCCTCCCTCAGCTTTGGGAACGCCCATGGTTCAGGGGTGGGTAATGGGTGCTGAGCACCAGTTTGTTACCGGGTGAGTCTGGTGTTTTCCAGCCTCTGGAGGGGCTGAGCTGGTGGAGCAGAGCCAGTCTGAGCAGGTCTCACCCTGAACAAGCCTGGTTGCTGTCTTTAAGTGCTTCCAAAAAGGTAATTTCAAGATCACTCAGGTCACAGGGGTTGTTTTCTGGGCAGTGGTTGGGGCTGGAGCCTTTGCCTTCAACTCAAGGAGACACCTGGAAACAGGAAAGGAGGGATTGGAGTGCCAAGTAATGGCCTTGGTGGTGGGGATGCCTTTCCCAGGAGAAGGGGAAAGTGTTTTCCTTAGCCAGAAGAGAGACCATGGTGATCCCACAGGGAGCTGGGGGATGTTTGCACAGTGCAGTCAAGGTGCCTTTGTCCAGCTGCTCCATCTCTCAGTGCACCTCGGAATGCAAAGGGATATGGGAGGAAAAAAAGGCCTTAAGTGCAGCTGGGAAGGCTGTGGGATGTGGGATGTGAGCTGGGCTGGCAGCTCACCCTTCCTGGGGATGAAACTGCTCCAGCCCTCAGCTTTGCCAGCTGAGATTTTGGGTGGTGGTGGCTTGTCCCAGGACAGTGGTGGGGCATTGTCATTAATGTGGGGAGCATCTGGGGGGTGTAGCTACCCTGGGGAAAGAAGATATTTCCTTTCCTAAATAGATGTAAAATAGAAAATGCCTGCAATTGTTGCTTCTCTGGGTGTAGTGAGTGGAACCTTTGGGTTTTCCAGCATTTTCCCACATGCTGGTGTCTCCTCTGCCAGGTTGGTTTTCATCTCCTGGCTGGAGCAGGGCCCTTCCCGAGGCCATGCCACCTGGAATGCAAAACCTCATCCCACCTTCTGCCACCCTGATTTCTTCCAGGTCACGACAGCTTTGCTCATAAATCAGGGAGGAATTTTCTCAGAGCTTTCAGCTGCGAGCCCGGCGTGGCTGGGCTGAGCTCATTAGCACCAAGCTGGGAGTTGGCAGCTCTGATTTATGAAGCAAAGCAATGCTGACAGAGTATGAGGGGAGCATTTTGTCTGTCACAGCTGACACCTGCAGCATGCCAATGTGCAGGTGAGCTGGGAACGTGTCTCTCCCCTTTGGAAGGGGCAACTTCCAGTGTCAGCCCTTGAGGTGTGCTCAGGAATTCTCCTGGTGCTGTCAGTTTGTAGTGTCAAAATTGATAGGAAACGGTTTGGATGTGTTTATTGCAGCTCCAAGGTGGCTTTGCTCATCCCAGGACTTCAGTGAGGTCAGGATTTGCCTGTGCTCCTCCCCAGAGAGTTAAAAAAGCCATCACACATTTGTCACTAAAATCAATAGTGGTGTCAGCAGCGCTGTGCTGGCATTGCTGCTGCTGTCATGTCCAACAGCATTTCCCAGGTGGAGGCAAAGCCCTTTCCTGGCAGTGGGAGGGAAGGTGAGATTCCCAACAGGGATGGTGCAGCAGCACCACGGGATGCTGGTCCTTGGAGCTGTGGCTTTGCTCCTGCTCCTCTCCCTTCATGTTCTTCTGCAGAAGAAGGAGGGCTTCTCTTCACCCCCTTTTGTGGAGCAGCTTGCCCTGAACCACTGCTTGTTCCCACACCAGGAATGCTTCCATCTCCTGGTGTCCCACACAGGCTCTGCTGATGGATGGGGATCCTTTTCCCCAGCAGGTGCTGTCTGCAGAGGCTCTGCTGCTCTTCAGGTTTTATCCAGAGGAAAAGCTTCCCCAGCCCAGCAGCTCTGTCCTGCAAACCATCCTTCTCTGCTCCCCAGGGCAATGCAGCCCACCACAATTCTACATCCCAGCTTCATCCCTCCAAAAACTTTTCTCCATCCACTTTTCCCCAGTTTCATAACCTTCTTGCTGCTCAGCCCAGGATTGCACAGAGTGGTTGGCTTGGAAGGGACCTTGAAGATCATCCAGTTCCACCCCCTGCCTTGGGCAGGGACAATTTCCACCTTCCAAGCTCTGTTTTCCTCTCAGCTTCTGCTTGTTCTGGCCTTGCTGAAATAAATAGTTGGATGCTGCTCCAATATAGTTTCCAACACTTTTTTTTTTTTCCTGCTCCACCCTCTTCACCACTATCTTGTGTTTGGTAAAGACACTAAACTGTGCTTTTGTGGAGGGATTCCAGGCTGGTGCCTCTGGGCAGCTCAGATCTGTGGGGTTGTCCCTGCTGTGGGAGTTGTTTTGGGGTGCAAGGAGAGGACACCTGTGTTGTAGAATAGAAATGCACTGGCTGTATCCTGACCCTGCTGGGCAGGACAGAGCTGAGCCATGTGCTGGCAGCTGGCAGAGCTCTCCTGGCCCTGTGTCCCTCCCTTTCCCCTCTCATCCTTCCACTCAGACCTGCTCCAGCCTCTCCAGGACTGGATTTCCCCCTGAACCCTGACTGTCTCAGAGGCTCTGGCCAGCTCCCAGCTCCCCCACAGCAGTGACTGTCCTGTGTCAGGTCGTCCCATGCAGGACCACGAGGTCATCATCATGAGTTGCCATTGCCATGCTGGGAGCAGGCACCTCTCCTGGGGTTTGGCACCAGGATGCTGCTGGAGCAAATCCCAGGCTCTGGGAGGGGTTTCACACCAGCAGCTCTTTGGAGATGATCATGATCTGAGTGTCCAGGGCTGCCCTGCAGCTCTGGAAGGAGGAGCTGTGCCCTGGTGTGGGCACTTTCCACCCTGCACTCCCAGAGATTTGCTGCTCACTCTCAGTTTTCCAGTTCCAGCATAACAATGCAGTAATTTTCCAATAAACAGCCTCATCTCCCTAGAGCATCACCTCTGCAGGTGACACTTGGCACAGTGTCCTTGGCCAGTGACCTCTCTGTGGTGCCTGGACCTGCTCTGGGGCCTTATCCCTGGTGCTGGACCAGTCTTTTCTGCTTCCACATCTGTCCTTGGGCTTGGAGAAGAGGAAGAAGCCAAAGCTGAGCACCTCACCACACCACAGGGTGGATATGGGCACGGGTGGCAGAGCAGGGATGTCACTGCAGTACAGGGCACAGTCCCCACTGCCCAGCACACCTGTGGGGTGAGGGGTGTTAGTGCTGGTCCCTTTTTGGGAGCTCCCAGAGAGTTCTGTGCCATGGGGTGGGCGCTTGGCTGTACCCTCTGTGCACAGAGTATTCCCCTTCCTGGAGACTTGGACTCGGCAGGAGCCTGCATTTTCTTTAGAGTGCCTCAGAAACCAAACAAAAGTTCTCCCAAAAGAAAAACCCAAGGCTCCAATGATGTTTCTTTTGTTCCTCAGGGGCCTGAGTCCAGCAAATGACAGTGGAGCCAAAAAGAAGAAAAAGAAACCCAAACGAAAGAAAGAGAAAGGAGGAGGAGACCAGCCTGACCAGGCTCAGGACCAGCCAGTGAAGGTGACCAACCCCTTCCCGGAATCCTGGCCCCCCCACAACAGCCAGCCCCATCCCAAACCTCTCCAGTGTTGCTTAGGGCAAGGAAGGAGTTCCCAGCCCTGGTTTTAGGCACTTGTTTGCTCAAAAACCTTCAGATTCACAGTGATTTCCCAGCCTGGCTCCATGTGTGGGAATTCCTGTTGGTGCAGAAAGTGTTTGCAGAGCCCTCCAGGGATAATGCAGTCCTTGGCTGGATATCCCAGCCAGTTCTAGGGTCAGACTAACACCTCCAAGTTACTCTTCCCAGCCAGCAGCTGCCTGTCACAGGCAGGAGCTGCCACCTGCCAGCTCAGAGTCCTGCCCGCAGCAGCACGGGGGGGGACATCTGGTGGTGTTGATTTTTTGCTTGATGATCCCAAGAACAGCAGCTGGGGAGAGCAAGGTCTGTCTTATCCCTCTGGGCTTTGCCTGATCCTGTCCAGCAGCCAGTGATTGAGGAAGCAGCATGGGACACACAGGTTTGACCCTCCTGGCCCTCTTGTCCCCTCTGGTCCTGTGGCAGAGGGGACACATCAGCAGAGGCTGGTTTCTGTCTGGTGCCAGCTTCTGTCCAAATATTTTGAATATTTTGTCCATCTGACATTGCAGAGGTTTAAACTGGGGCTTTGTGTTTTTCAAACTAAAATCCTCAGGGATCAGAGAGGAGCTGGGGTTGGAAATTCAGTGCAGAGCCATCCACCCTGAGGAAGAGGAGGATGAAAGTGTCTTTCATCTTGACTCAACCTCTCTGCCTTGACCCAATCCCTGGTGTCCAGGGACTCCTCTGGAAGCTGCAGTTTGTGGGTACAGATCTAGCTTAGAGAGAGGAGGCTGAACAATGAGAGAAAAGCCACTGAAAGAATCTCGAGTGCTGGGTGTGGGTTGATCCCTCTGTCTCTGCAGGATGTCAGGTGGGGAGGTTTGCTCCTGGGGCTCACAGCACCCACTTAACTGAAGCTTAAAGCATTTTCAGAAAATTCTTCCATCCCCTTTGTCTGGGGAGTGCCTAGAAGCCAGATCTAGGTGAGGGGCAGCTGGCTGGTGAGAGGGTTCATGCATCCTGTCAAGGACTGAGGATGGGAAGGGAGGTTCCTGCCTGCTCTCCCTTTCCTGGCAGCACCCCATGACAGGACCAGCTCCACATTGCCCTAATGAGGAGCCCACATACAGACCTGCTGGCTCAGCTTACTCATTTTGTCTTTCCACCCTCCTTCTGTGCCCTCAGGTGAACTCTTTACCTGCTGAGAGGATCCAGGAGATTCAAAAAGCCATCGAGCTCTTCTCTGTAGGTCAGGGACCTGCCAAAACCATGGAGGAAGCCAGCAAGAGGAGCTACCAGTTCTGGGACACACAGCCAGTGCCCAAGTTAGGTATGTGTAGCCCCTCAATGTCCTGTGGGCCCTGGGGGAGGCCTTGTGGTCCCCAGGCTGCTCCAGGAAGCCCCCAGAGAAGCCTGGAGGTGCTGATCTGTGGCCACCAGGTGAGTCCCTGCCTGGCCTGGGCTTCAAAGGCACCAAAACCACTTCTCCACCATTCAGCAACGTGAATGCAACGGACTAGGTGGATGGGGAGGGTCTGAAGAGCTGTGCAAGCACTTCAGGGGGTACAGAGGGACAAGGAACCCCTTCAGACATGTGACCTGGTGCCTCCTGCGTTTGGATCCCTTAATCCCCATCCTTAGCCCTGGAGCTGGGTCTCCCCAGCCCTCTGTACCTGAGTTTTGTGTGTGGTGTTGCCACATCCTGAGCTGGCTCAGAGCTGTCCAGATCTCCCCTTCCTGGAGGTTGAAGCTTCCCAGACAGAGATCCTTGGTGTGGGGTGAGCTGGGGCAGGGAGCAGCTCAGGGAAGCAGGTGCAGTGCTGAGCTGCCACATCCTTGTTCTGCTGGGCTCGATCCCTCAGCACAGGCAGGAGCTGCAGCTGAGCCAGGAGAGGGGGAGCACAGACATCAAAGCAGCTCCACCCCAAGCTGCCATGAACAACTAAGGATGGGGAGCCCCATCTCTTGGTCCCCTGTAAACATCCCAGTGGTGCTTCCCAGCTCTGGGCCTTGCTCCAGCCCTTCCTCTTGCTCCTGACAGCCTGTGGCAGTGATCTGCCACTGACACCGTGGCAGGGCTTTCAGAGCAGACATGCCAGGAGAGCTGCCTGTCTGGAAGGCTCATTCCCAGGCTGATTGGGGTGCCAGGGATAACTTTACTTTAGTCTCTCCTCATCTGCATCCCTCAGAGCTCAGGGAACTAGAGAGTGAGTCCAAGCCCAATTTTCTAGATTTATCCAAAACTTGTCATGGCTTCAGACTTGCTGCTCTTCAGTATTTCCCTTCATGGGTTTGTGTCATTTTGCTGCAGATGCAGTGTTTGATTCCCATTCCGTGTGTCCACACCACTGTGAGGCTTTTTTGGGTCTCAAAACCTTTCCTGGGAGCAGCAATCTCAGCTTTAAGTTGGGAAAATCACAGTGAGATGGCATGTGGTCATGTGAGACAGCAGAGTCTTGCATTTGCCCTTTTTTTCCAAGGATACTGAGCATGGGAAACATAATTTCTGCTTGGGAAGACCCTGGGGAAAGGGTGGAGGGTGTCTCCTGGGGAGTGGGAGGCACAAAGCAGCTCGTTCCTCCCAGCACCAGGCTGGTGGCTGTGCCTGGCTGCTGGCCACTCACTGTGTCCCAGCACTCCTCGTGGTCCTGGTGTGCTCTGGCTCATGCCATTATGGGCATGGGGCTATTTAGGGCTGGATAACAGAAGTGCTGTGGGATTTTTGAGGCCAGATCTCAAAACAGTTCAGCACCTGCTCAAAACAGAGAGGGCAGCCAGAGGTGAGTGTTTCTGGAAGCTGCCTGGGGTGGGTGTGATGGGGGAAGTTCTTCCTCTGGGCTTTCATCACCTCACCATTGCTTGGAAACCTTTTCAATGCCTTTTTAAGGGAATTCCTAATTAGCACAACTTGCTTTTCCTGGCAGCACTGAAGTGATGCTGCTGGACTGACATCCCTGAGACAGCCAGAGCTCGAGCTGACATCTCCTGGCTGAATTAGGGCCTTTAGGAGTCAGTGGTTTTACAACAAAAGTTGTGTTGTTCGCTGCAGCTCTCCTTTAGGCACAGTGAGCAGGAAACCCTGACACTTGCCAAGTGGCAGTGGCCAGAGCTGGCAGGAGATCACTGTCCCATGGAGGGCCTCACGGGAAAGTGCTGGCCCAGGCTGGGATTGTGGGGATGGGGAAGGATCAGGCATCACGTGTGGAGCTGGAGGATGCAGCTGTGGCTGTGTTTGGTCACCCAGTGGGCTCCAGCCTTGCTCTGGAAGTTTTGATTCCCTGCCCATTGTCACCTCCCAAACTGGGTGGGTGAAGTGACAATCCCTGTCTGCCACTGCAGGGCTGGGAGACATGAGCAGAGGTGTTGTGGAGGCTTGGCCTCACTTAGCAGAGAACTTCTTCATGCTCCCTGCTGTGTGTTCCAGGAGAAGTGGTGAACACCCACGGCCCGGTGGAGCCAGACAAGGACAATATCCGCCAGGAGCCCTACACCCTGCCCCAGGGCTTCACCTGGGACGCCCTGGACCTGGGGGATAGAGGTGTGGTGAGTACAGGCAGCTCAGCACACTCCTCTTGGAGTGTTTTGGGTGGCACTTCAATGCTTGGAATGTTGGAGGTGGTTTTGGGGATGGAAATGTGTCCTTTACCACAGCAGGTGACTGTGGCTCTGTCACACCTTGGGCTTGGATGGGTCTTTTTACCCATCCCACACTGAGCAGCTTGGCCTGTTTTTTTCAAGGGGATGTAAGGATGCCTGAAGCCTGGAGTTCTCCTGTGGGAACCCCCTTTACAGCATGACCCACCTCCCTGGGAGATGACACAGGGCTTACCTGTGTCCTGCTGTCCCCCTGCTCTGTTGACACTGCTCCAGGACCCCGGAGCAGGGGCATGTGCCAGGAGTAGGGGCACAGCTGCACATGGTGCCCCAGTGCTGTGGCCACACATTAAGTGCTCAGGGTCCTGACTGAGGGCAGTTGATGGCTGAGTAAGCTCCTTAACCTGTGTGCTCTGTGCTGCAGCTGAAGGAGCTGTACACACTGCTCAACGAGAACTACGTGGAGGACGATGACAACATGTTCCGCTTCGATTACTCGCCCGAGTTCCTGCTGTGGTGAGTGGCACCAGGAGTGCAGAGCAGGGGTGTGGGATGCTGACAAGCCTGATCCCGGTGACAGGGCTGCAGCTGCCTTTGCTTATCCCATCTCCCTTCTTCCTGAAATGTCCCTTCCCCATCTGTCACTGTGTACAGTGTCCCAGGGACATGGTGAGAGGGGCTGTCACCCAGCCCTGCCTGCTTCTGGCTCCTTCAAGATATGGGAGCTTAAAGGTGGATTTTTCTCCTCTTTGGTTTGATCCCTCAAGTGTTTGTGAAAATCCCAGTAGCTGAGAGACTCCTCAGTGCCCTGGAGCTGTGGGATGAAGGCAGCTGCCAGCAATTACCCTTGGAGTTCTGTTGCAGCAGAGCTGCTGTTTCCTCAGGGTGTTCCTGAATCCAGGAACAGATGTGTCCCTAGTGAGGACTGGCCATGGGGGGCAGGAATTGCCCTGGATCCCAACAGTCCTTGCCACATCCCTGTCACTCTCATCCTCTTGCTGGCCAGCAGGACTCAGGGTGTCCCAGGGCAGGGTGGGAGGCAGGAGCAGATACACCAGGGACCTTGGGTGGGAGGTGACAGCTGAGGTGTGTCCCCTCCCCAGGGCGCTGCGTCCTCCAGGCTGGCTGCCCCAGTGGCACTGTGGGGTCCGAGTGGTCTCCAGCAAGAAGCTGGTGGGATTCATCAGCGCGATTCCAGCCACCATCCACATCTATGACACGTGAGTGCTGCTGCATTTGTCATCCTGCCCCTTGCTGGGGCTTTGGGAGAGCTCAGGGGGTCTGGCTCCACTGTCTTCCCCAGCACACAGCCAGACCTGCACCCTTCAGCTTTGGAGATGTTTTGCTGCTTGAAGGGGAAGGTGGGGGATATTTAAGGGTTGGCAGGGAGGTTCTGGGCAGGGACATCTGGTAGTTAACCATTGTGAAGGCTGTTTTCCTCAACGAGGTGGGTTAACTTAGGGCTCTGGCTTACAGAAATCATCCACGGTTAGATGGAGATGTAGAATCATAGAATATCCTGAGCTGGAAGGGATCTCCAAGGATCATCCAGTCCAGATCCTATCCCTGCACAGGGCAGCCCAACAATCCACCCTGTCCTTGAGAGCATTGTCCAAACTCTCCTAGAGCTCTGGCAGCCTTGGGGCTGTGACCATTCCCTGGGCAGGAGATTCCCTGGGCGGTGCCCAGCACCCTCTGGGGCAGGAACCTTTCCCTAACATGCAACCCGACCCTCCCCTGAGATATGTTTAGACCATTTTGCCTGGAAATCCCTGGGTAACAGCTTAAGGGAGGGTTCTCCAAAACCTCCTGCCCCTTCCCTGAGGTGTTGACTCCTCATTCCCTTGAAGGGGTTTGGAGGTAGATTGCCCAGGGTGTTGGTCTGATCCTCCCAGGTCAGGACAGCCAAACCTCATGCTCTGCATTGTTTCTTCCCCTAGAGAGAAGAAGATGGTGGAGATAAATTTCCTGTGTGTCCACAAAAAGCTGCGCTCCAAACGGGTGGCTCCGGTTCTGATCCGTGAGATCACACGGAGGGTGCATCTAGAGGGAATCTTCCAGGCTGTTTACACTGCAGGAGTGGTGCTGCCAAAGCCTGTGGGGACTTGCAGGTGAGTGTCTGTGGCTCTCCCAAGATCTCTGCAGACCTTCCCTTCCCGTGGTCCCCTCTGTGGCCGGTAGTGTGGCCAGTGTGGGATTCCCCGGGACAGGGGAGAGTGATCCCAGTCCAGGTCTCTCCTCCCACGCTGTCCTTCCAGGATTAAGTGCAGTGGCTTTGCTCAAGTTGCTCATGTAACACAGGAGAGGAGGCTTTGGCAGCAGGATCACCTCAGAGCCGTGTTGCTCTCTGTGGGGAGCTGCTGGCCTGATGTTCTCACTTGCCCCTGCAGCCCCCCCGCTGCCCCAGAACGAGTCTCCCACTGCCAGTGTGTTTCTGCAGGTATTGGCACCGCTCCCTGAATCCTCGGAAACTCATCGAGGTCAAGTTTTCCCACCTGAGCAGGAACATGACTATGCAACGAACCACGAAGCTGTACCGGCTGCCTGAGGTGGGTGCCAGCCAGAGCAGAGCTCAGGACTTGCTCCTCCCTGGGCAAGACACACAAAGGAGGTGGAGGTCAAGTCCTCTGCCTGGAGACCCAGGGTTTGTTCCACATAGTAAATGACTCTGTCAAGCAGTTGTGCTTTATTTAATCTTTATGTATTTTTGCCTGGGTACCTGCATTTTAAGGGCAAATTCTTGCAGTTAGAGGACCCTGTGAGCTTTTGTTTGCTGGTGACAGTCATAGCCTGTCGTTCTGGTAAAACGAGCAGGCAGATGTGACAGCCTTCATCTGTCCAAACACAGCCTCAGTGTGACCTTGGATCGAGTTAGTCTCTCATTCTTCAGTCACACTGATCAATTCTGGCACTGCAGTTGTCCTGCTGGGGAAGTTCCCCAGCTGGAGATGGAAGAGAAAGAAGCAAACTGCATTAAAATTGCCACCACCTTTCCTGACCTTGTTGGCTCCTTTCTGTCACCCCTTTGGGGTGCAAAGTGCTGCTTTCATGCTGGGCAGCTCCCAGCTCCTGCCTCCCACAGCCACACAGACAGCGGTTGCTGGGCTGGAGCTACTGGTTTTTGCATAGAAACTCAGCCCCAGAGCAGATCTGGGCTTGCTGAGCCATCCCAACCCTAAATTAGTAATTGAGGCCAACTGGGAATAACATCTTGTGGAGCCTGGGACATGTCTCCCAGCCTGTGCCTGCTGTGAGTGGGAACAGGAACCTGCAGGGAAGCAGAGTTTGTGTTGTTAGCGGGTAGGAGCACTTCCAGTGGGACCTGACCTTGCACTTGGGGGTTTGGGACATGCTGTGCTCTCTGTGATCTTTGCCATTGGTGTCACAGCAGATCACATCCATCCTTTGCTGGGCGCACAGGGCTGAGGGGCTGAAAATGGGCTGATGTAAGCAGAGTGTCTCTGTGCTGCTCGTTGGAGAGCCCTTGGGTGATGAAAAGCACTGTGCAAGCCACGAAACAACTTGTCCCACTTTCTGCAGACTCCCAAGACTCCCGGCCTGCGGCCCATGGAGCACAAGGACATCCCTGCTGTGCACAAGCTCTTGACTGAGTACCTGAAGCAGTTCCACCTGACACCCGTGATGAGCAGAGAGGAGGTGGAGCACTGGTTCGTCCCTCAGGAGAACATCATCGACACCTTCGTGGTAGAGGTGAGGGGCAGGAGCAGGATGGGAGGGGTGTTTTCCTGGGCTTTTGCCTCTACTGGAGCTGTGGGAGCAATCAGGGAGGAGCTCCATGCCCCTCCAGGATGGGAATTTGCTGGAGGATGGTGCTTCCATGCTGGGCCCTGCAGCCACCACTCCAACTGGGAGAGCCCCTCTGAGGCTCTGGCCAGGCTTTATCCCAGCCTGACGTGTCATGATGTCCCTTCTGCCTTCCAGAGTGCCCCAGGAGAGGTGACAGACTTCCTGAGCTTTTACACCCTGCCCTCCACCATCATGAACCACCCAACTCACAAGAGCCTGAAAGCTGCTTATTCCTTCTACAACGTCCACACCAAGACGCCTCTCATCGACCTCATGAGCGACGCGCTCATCCTCGCCAAGTCGGTGAGTGCTGCACTCAGCCCTTTCCTGACCCAGACAAGGGGCAGCTGAGAGGTGTTTTAAAAAGCTTTTATTCCATTTTCAGTCTCATGTGAAGGGTGAGACAATGCAGATGTTATAATTCACACCATCACAATCAGAAGCCAATTATTTCCTAATTACAATACACTATAAGTGTATCTTGGCCTATCAGCTTTTGCTACACCATGCTGTAAATGCCTTAAAGCCAATCGTCTCAAATTACCCTTTGTGAGCCTTCTGTCAGGCTTTGAGAATTCTCTACAAATCCATTTCCCACAGGTAAGGGATGCAGGGGTGGGCTGGCACTGTGGGGCATTGGGCAGCTCACAGGAGCTCCCCAGGAAACTCACTGGGCAGCTCACTGCAGGCTGGCCACCCTCGGGTTTGTGGGAAGGGCTTCTTCCCAGGAACTGTAAAAATCCAAATCTAAAAGGATCTGCCACCCAGGAGAGGGATACTGGGGTACCTTGAACCTTCCAGCTTGTGGTGGTTACTCATGTCCTACAGCAGCCTGAGCTCTTGCCTTTTTCTGGGATTCAAAGCCAGGCAGGAAAGGGGGCCAGGCTGCTCACAGGTGGGAGGAACTCCCCAGCACAAAAGCAAGAACTGATGGCTTCATGTCTCCCTGTGCAGAAAGGATTTGACGTCTTCAATGCACTGGATCTCATGGAAAACAAAACCTTCCTGGAGAAGCTGAAGTTTGGGATCGGGGATGGGAACCTGCAGTATTACCTGTACAATTGGAAGTGTCCCAGCATGGCACCAGAGAAGGTCAGTGCTGTGAGGAGGGGTCTCAGCCCCACAGCCCTGGGGACATGGGGTGGCTGTCACCCACAGCTCAGCACTCCAGCCCAGCTGGTGTCCTTGCAGTGTCCCACACAGTGAAGGTGGATCCCTCTGCCATCTCCCATGCCTGCAGAGTGTGTCCCTGGGGAGAACCCTCCACACTCATCTTCCAAAGCTAATTTTACTCCTGGATTAGTGCAGGTTGAGTCCTTCCCCTCACACTAACTCCTTCCCTCTAAGGAAGGGAGGCCAGGCACAGAGGAGACAGCAGAGGGCTGCAGGGTGACAGATGTGACACGGGGGGTTGTGACAGTCACCTGTGATCCCTCATGGGACATGGGTGTCACTGCACAGCCCTGGGTGTCAGTGTGTCCTGGTGGGGTGGGAGGAGCAGCCACTCCTCTGGAGAGAACAGGCAGGCTGGAGCAGGACCTGGGACAGAGGAGCTCTGCCACCACATGCAGGGGGCTGAGCCACAGGATCCTAGGATGTCATTTGTCCCCAGGGCCAGCGGCCTGTTCCCCACTGCTCCCAGAGCTGTGCAGGGTCCCCATCTGCCTGCCCTGGGCCATTCTGAGGCAGCACCTGGTTGCTGCTGTCCCTCCACTCCAGAGAGGTGATTCAGCACCTGTCCACAGCCACCTTGCAGAGGATGGTGCTTGAGAACCAGAATCTACCCGGCTACATTGCAGCTAATTAACAGCTAATTAATGCCTTGATGGCAGTCACAGGGCTTTGGTTCCCTGGTGTGAACCAGGTCTGTCTCTGGGCACAAGCCCTGTGCCCTAAACCAGCCTCACTTGCCTGCTGAGCCTCCTAGGAAGCCCCAGGAGGTTCCCAGGATGTGCCAGCAATTCCTTCTTTAACTGGGAGAACTTGGGGTTGGGAGAGCCTGATGATGGGAATGTTCCTGTGGTGAGGCTGCCTCGGGGTCCACTGGGTCAGAGTGCATGACAGGCCACCAGCACGTCCTGGAGGGTCCCCAGCAGTGCCAGCTGCCTGTGGAGGGACATGTCCAGGGACCAGGCTCTTGGGAAGCAGCTTCTCCCAAGTCACAGAATCATGAAATGGTTTGGGTTGGAAGGGACCTTAAGAGTATCCCACTTCCTAGCAGAGGTGTTCCATCCCTCTACTCATCATGAGCTGACAAACACCCTTGGCTCATGAATCAAGGCTGTCTCATAACCTGATGGGGTTTGTCACACACCAAACATTGGTCACCTCCCCAGGTCAGAGCTGGGCATGGCCCTTGTGCCCACTCAGCCACAAACCCAGGGCTTTGCTGCTCTCAAATACCCCAAAAACAGTGGGGAAACCGACACAGACAGCACCGAGCCCTCCCAGCATGGCTGGGAACGGAGCAGAGGACACCTCCTGATCCCAATTTCTATCCTGATTCCTATTTCCAGGTTGGATTGGTGCTGCAGTAAGGGAGCCCTTGCCAGGAGAGCGTGGAGGAGCCGGGCCTGAGGAGGTGCTGCCCTCATCCTTTCTGCCAAAGCCGGAGCCACGCCGGGAGAGGGGCACCGGAGCCGCCCGCTGCTGTCAGCCACCTCCTTGTTTGATTTAACTGCATCCTCCTAAAGACATGATCAAAGGAATGTAACTGCTGAAACTAGATCATGATTGGCATATAATGGATTTAACGGGTGAATAATAAAAGTATATATTATATATATTTTAAATCTTTCCTGTTCCCCACTGCCATGAGTTACATTCGGCTGCTGAAGGTCATCACTGGGCTGCTGGACTGGGACTTTTCTCCGTGGGGACAGCTGAGGTTGATGCTGTGGCAACATGGTGGCTGCTGGCCAAACCCTCCTGCCTGCCCCGAGGGTGCTTCAGGCTCTCCCCTGCTCGGCTCTTTGTCCCCGGCTTGCTCCTGACTCGGTTAAACAGGGCCTGTCCCCGCGGGCTCGGGAGCACCTCGAGATTCATTTCCAAGGGCTATTTGTGCAAGCGATGCCTTGTCCCACCTCCTGCCCAGCCACAGACTCCAACCTTCCTGCTGGACGCTGACCTGAGGGCCAGCAGTGCCCGAAGATCCGGGGGCTCAGCTCCAGGGCGGGGCTGGCACACCCCGCTCTGCTCGGGCTCCTGCGGCTCCTTCCCCTCAGCCTTCCACGGGGCGGGGGCACTGGGGGTGCTCCACTGCCACTGCCACACCTCCAGCCTCTGCTCAGCTGTTTTTCTCTGGAAGCATGGAAATATGGATACTCCATCAGCATCACCCCGGGGCTTCAGCCTCCCCGGTGCCTCCACACCAGCTCCCGGTGTCACCTCGTGCTGTGGGATCCGCCGAGAGAAAGGAAACGTCACAGCAAACCTTCATCCCACCCAGGAGTGCCCGGACAGCCTCCTGCCACATCACGAACCCAGAGCTCCGAGATGCTCCTGCCTGCCCAGCCAAAGGTTTCCAAAGCTGCACACCAAGGCCAAGACCCCGTCTATGCACTCTCACGCCTCCCTGTCCTCGCGTGTCCCTGTCACCCCCCGTGGCACCACGGACCCTGAGAGCCTGTGCCCGCCCCAGCCTGGACCTGTGGGGCCTCAGTGGGGACCAGGAGCCCATCACATCCCCCTGGCAGTGCCATCACATCCCCCTGCTCGGGGTCCTGTGTCACCTATGCAAGTACCTCTGTGTCCCCTCCTGTGTCCCTGCTGTCCTGGGCTAGGAGAGGCTGGGTGTGGGTGGGGGACACCCCATGGGACCCTCCCTCTGTCCCCATGGCAGGTTTGAGGGCTCTCCAATGAATCCCCCCAGCTTCCATGGGTGCAGTACCCATGGGTGCCTGGCACCCCAGGGCACTGCTGACTTGGGGGTGGGCTCAGCCGTGATCCACCCACAATGGGCTCCGGAGGGTGACAGGGACACTGGGACAGGCTCTGTTAAAATAAAACCTTTATTCGACTGGCTTGATCCCAGGGTGTAAATCTGTGACTGTCGCTGGTGCCAGAGCAGAGGTTGGCAATGTGTCCCCACCCGGGCACAATGGAGTGTGTGGTGGCAGGGGCCCCTCAGGGATTCCAGGGTGACGATGGCACCATCCTTGCACCCAAAGAGGGGCTGGGATCAAGCATGGCCAAGACTGGTGAGATTTGGTGGTTGCTGTCACCCATGTCACCCCTGTGGGGCTGTGCTGGGCTGTCGTTGGCCCAATCAACCCATCCTGGTTGTCACAGCATCTCTGTCCCCTGAAGGACAGGAGTGGGGCACCAGCAGACTGGGTGGCACTGGGTAGGGGAGCCCCCAGCCCTTCGGGTCCTCCCAGCCCTGCTGTCACCACAGACAGCTGAGCAGTGTCCTCGGGCTGTCCCCACGCAGGGTGCCCACCCAGGGAGGAGCCTGCTGTCCCCCACACAGACACAATATCCCCCCATGGGCACCTCGGGGACTCCAGGTTGTCCCTCCTGTGGACCCTCACAGGCTCTTGGATCGAACGTGCACGAAGAGCGTGGCAGGGGACAGGGACGCCCCGTCCTTGGAGAGCAGGTGGATGTGGCGGTACCCTGGGGACAGACGGGGGCTCAGCGGGTGCCAGGGGCTGTCCCCATCCCCGGGGGGCAGCGGGGTGGCACCGGCACCCACCTTGGCGCATGCTGGGCAGGGGCAGCGTGAACTGCCCCACGAAATCATTGCAGGAGGTGCTGTCGTAATCCTCCACCACGAAACGCACCAGGGCCAGCTCGGGCACCCGCACCTGGAACCGCAGCGTCTCCTCCCAGCGCGGGTTGAAACCTGCGGCACCGGCGTGGGGGTGGGGGTGGTCACCGGGGTCACCGGGGCCATGCAGGGAGCGGCAGGACCCCCGGGCACTGCCCCTGCCCCGGCTGAGCTGCCGTCCTGCACTGGGGGATGTGGGGACTGGGGTGATGCTGGGGCTGCAGTGGGGTGTACTGGGGAAAACGGGGTCGTACTGGGGCTGTGGTGGAGCGTGCTGGGGGAATGGGGTCATGGTGGGGGACTGGGATCATGCTGGGGCCACCATGGGGTGTACTGGGGAAAAGGGTTTCTGCTGTGGCTGCACTGGGGTATGGTGGGGGAACAGGGGCTGTACTGGGGGAATGGGGGTCATACTGGAGCCGTGATGGGGTATACTGGGGAAAAGAGGGCCAAACTGGTACTGGACTGGGCTATATTGGGAGAATGGGGGTTGTGCAGTGACTGAGGTGCAGCATACTGGAGGGATGGGGACTCTGATGGGATATTCTGGGGGAATGGAGGTTATATTGGAGCTGGGCTGGACCATACTGGGAGAATGGGGGTGACACTGGGGCCGTGGTGGGGTATACTGGGAGAATGGGGGGTCGTACTGGGGAGAATGGGCATCACACTGGGCTTGGTACTGGAGACCATGAGGGAGCAGCACTGGGAGAACTGGGACATGATGGACCCTGCCACGGGTGGGGATCTGGCTGTGCTGGGGAGGGGACATTGTGGTGCACGGGGGAATCTGGGATGTCCTGGGCACTGGGATGTCCTGGGCACTGGTTCAACTGGCAGTGAGTGGTACCCAAGGCACTGTCCCTCACAGGGATTAGGGTGCCCCTGGCATCAAGGTGTCCCTGGATCAGGGTGCCCTGGGGTGTCCCTGGGAATGAGGTGTCCTGAGGGTGTCCTGGAGCCCCCCTGGAGATCAGGTTCCATGGGGTGTCTGCAGGGATCAGGGTGCTCCAAGAGCCCCTGGGTTGTCCTTGGGCATTCCTGGGATTCGGGCAGTAGTAGGGTTGTGAGAGGTAACTGGGTGTCCCTGGGGGTCGGGGTGCCCTGGAGTGTCCCTGGGGGTGCCCGGGGGTGCCCAGGTCCCCGTGGTGCCCAGGGGTGACCCCAGGGGTGCCCAGGTGGCAGCACTCACCGTTGTTGAGCTTGTGGTGGGTTTGCTGCTTGGCGCAGTCGGCCGGGGTCCCGTGGATCTCCACGCGCACAAAGGGATCCACGATGGAGCTGCCCTTGTCCCTGTTCAGCTTGGGCAGCTGCTGGGCTGTGATCACCTGTGGCACAGGGGACCAGGGCACAGCGGGGATGGGGGTGTGGGGAAAGCACTGGTGTCCCCAGAAGGGACGTGAGTGGCACTTGGCTGGGGCTGGGGACACGGTGAAAGGAGGGAGGTGGCTGATGCCACCCAGTGGCTGACACCAGCTGGATTTGGGGACAGGGTTGGTGTCACCCAGGAGATGTGTCATGGGTGACACATCAGGAGATGTGGATGGGATGAGGAGGAGGGAGGTGACTGGTGCCATCCAGGAGAAGGGACGTGGTGGCACATGGCTGGGGACAAGGTGGTGTCCCCAGAAGGGGATGGCACCCAGCCAGGGGTGGGGATGGGGTGAAGAGGAGGGACATTGTTGGTACCATGCAGGAGAAAGAACATGAGTGACATATTGCTGGGTCCCCAGGAGGAGGGATGTGGGTGGCACTTGGCTGGGACTGGGGATGTGTTGGGGAGGAAGGAGGTGGCTGATGCCATCTCCGAGAAGGGACATGGCTGATACCAGCTGGATTTGGGGACAGAGTTGGCATCACCTGGGAAAAGATGCAGGTGCCACCTGACCAGACATTAAAATGTCATGGGTGCGACACAGCAGGGACGTGGGTGGCACCCAGCCAGGCCTGGGGACAGGCTCGAGGGGTGTCCTCACCCTGATGTGCAGGGCCAGGCGCCGGGAGCCCTCCCCGGGGGGGCTGCGCAGGCAGAGGGGCTTCAGCACGTAGCCACAGCGGCCGTTGGGCAGGAAGCGCCCGGCGTTCAGGTCCATCTCGTAGCCCGGCGTCTGGAAGTTCAGCGCCACTGTGGGGACAGCAGGACGGGCTCTCAGGGGGGGTGACGGCTCCAGGGGTGGCTGCCAGGTCAGGGGGGCCTGGGGGTCTCACCCAGCTGGCAGCCAGCGTTCCACATCTCCTGGGGGTTGTAGTTGGCAGAGTTCATCTTGAGCCCCAGCGGGTACACGCGGCTCAGCTGGCGGGCGTTGTACCGGACCAGCGCCGGGCCTGCGGGGGGACACGGCTCAGGGGGCTGCTGCACCCTCCAGTGCTGCCGGGGGGCTCCAAGAGAGGCTGATGGGCCCCAGGACATGGACAGAGCCTGCCCTGAGCCTGACATGTGACCCTGAAACCAGACCCTGGAGTTCAGACCCCAAACCTGGACCTTGACCTTGGACCCCTGACCCCAAACCTCTGACCCTTGATCCTGATCTTTGTAACCCCACACTTTGACTTTATACCCCTGACCCTGGACCTTGACCATGGAACCCAGACCCTGACCCTACATCTTGACCCTGATCCCTGCACCTCAGACTCCAAATCAAGACCCCCAAGCCTATGCCCTGACCCAGATCCTAATCCTTGAGTCCAGACACTGACCCTGGCCCCAGACACTGACCTTGGACCCCAGACCCTGAACACTGACTCAGATCTTAATCTCAGGCCCTGACCTCAGATTCTGACCCTGACCCCAGCCCCAGCCCTTGACCCCAGACCTCAGTCCCTAGACTCTGACCCAGACTTTATTCCCAGCCCCCGTCCCTGGACCCAGATGCCACGTCCTAAATCCTGATCCAGACCTTGATCCTGGTCGTGTGACCCTAAACCTGGCCTCTGGCCCCAGGCAGGCCCCAGGCAGACCCATTCAGGGCAGCCTGGGTGAGGCCAGCATGACCTCTGACCACTCATGGGGCCACCCTGGAGTGGCTCAGCCCATCCTGCATCCCAGTGACTCAGGAGTATGGACCTCCTGTCCCCATCCTGTCCCCATCTGGTGGCACTCACCTGCCTCCTTGATGAGCTTCCGTGCCTTCCTCTCACTGAAGGAGGACATCTGGCAGGGCTGGGGGTGGCGCAGGGCCTGGGCCAGCCCGGGGAAGGGGACAGCCTGGCAGTACACCACCAGTGCCGACAGCTCCGGGGACACCTGCGACGCGTCCTTGGCCTGCGGGAGCCACCGTGGCATCAGGGACAAGCTGGCCCTGGAGGCACCTGCCAGTCCAAGGGTTTACAGACCCCCTCCCTGCTAGTGCTGAGTGCTGAGACCCCCAAGGCCATGGAGACCCTCAAAGCAGGGGAGCCCCAAGGTGGTGCAGAACCCGAGGCAATGGAATGATGGACCAGGGCCTGATGGGGAACCCAAACAGGTTGAGAACCTGCAGCCATGGAGAACCCAACGGGATGGACAGCCTGAGATGTTACAGACCCAAGGATGAGGGAGACCCCAAAGTGCTGGAGAACCTGGGGTGATGGGCACCCCGAGATGATGGAGTACCTGAGGTGACAGAGACCCCAAAGTGATGCCGACCCCAAAAGGTCACCCTGGATGTGATGCAGGCCCAACATGATGGAGAACTTGAAGAGAAATCAAAGTGCTGGAAACCCCAGACACAGGCCAGCCAGCCCCAGAGGAAGAGGGAGGCACAGCTGAGGGGTCCCCAAGCTCTGTCCCCTCTTCCAGGCAGTGGCACCCACAGCAGCTGCCCTGTCAGCCCCGCCAGCTCCAGCCCATCACCCACCTGCAGAGGTTTGATCTCCTGCAGCGACTGCAGCGACTGAAAGAGGAGAGAGCAGGGCTGCAGAGGGATGGCAGAGCTGGCAGTGCTCAGCTGCGACAGTGCCAGGATGCCATGGTCCCCTGGCACCACCAGGATGCTCTGATCCATCAGGACCACCAGGATGCCATGGTCCCCCAAAACCACATCCCTGGGGAAGTCTCTTACCCGCCGGGGGCTTCTCTCCTGCCCCTTCTCCTCCTCTTCTTCCTCTTCTTCCTCTTCCTCCTCCTCGGGGTCCAGAAGGGAGGTGACACCCTGGGGCTCCTGCCACAGCTCTGGCAGCTTCTTGCCCTTCACCAGGATCTTTTCCTTCAGCTGCTACAGAGGGCAGGTCTGAGCTCAGAGTTCAGAGGGGACATGGGGACACTGCGGTGGCACGTAGGTGGCCTTACCTCTGGTGAGGGGAGATCGTGGGGGTCCTGCCCCTGCAGGGGCTGTGTCAGCAGCCTGTCCCCCAGGATGGCCTTCATGTGCCGGGCCATGGTGGCCTGCTGCTCCAGCCCGCAGTGGTTCTCCAGGGACAGGATGACGGGGTAGGGGGATTTCTGGGCACAGGGAGGGGCAGCGCTCAGCACCTGGCACCGGGCACCGAGCACCCCCAGGGCTGCCACCCCATCTCACCTCAAAGGCGGAGTCGCGGATGCTCTCGATGACGTCGCGGAAGAGGATTTTGGAGGTGAGTGTGTGCCCGTGGTAGACCACAGGCTCCCCGTCCGAGCCCTCCCAGCAGTCCAGCTCCACGCAGCGGCACCCTGCCCTCAGCGCCCTGCCACCACAGCGGCACCAGGTCAGTCCCTGTCCCCCTGGAGCCACGGCACCTTCTGGGGCTCCGCGGGGCCGGGGACACGCACCTGACGTAGGCCTCGGTGCTGCTGGTGCCGCCGATCTGGTTGCGGGTCAGGTAGGTGTTGTGGGAGGAGGAGATGAAGTAGTGGCTCAGGGGCTGGCTCATGTCCTGGTGCACCTTGGTGTGCTCCTGGTTGAGGATGTCACCAGCAGCCGACAGCAGGTACATCATGAAGCCGTCCAGCATCATCAGGTCCTGCTGCTTGGCTGCGGGGCACGGTGGCAGCTGTCACATGGTGCTGGCAGGGTGGCACCCTGAGGACCTTCCCCACTTGGAGGTGCCATGTTCATCCCTGACCTGGCACTGTGGCACCCAGGGCACGTGTAAGTTCCCTCAAGTGTCCCATCTCCATCCTGATGTCACTCATCCTGCTGGTGCCACATTCACTCTGGATGTGGCATGGTGACACCCATGAGGTGTGGAGGTTCCCTGTCCTAACCCTGATACCCTCTGTCCTCCCAGTGCCATGTCACCCCAGACCTGTCACTGTGGCACTCAGGGGAGGTCCCCTTTGTGTCCCATCTCCCATCTGATGTCCTCCATCCTCCTAGTGTCACATCTACCTTAAGGGTACTATTGTGACACGGAGGTCCTTCATCCCCACCATGATGTCCCCTAGTGCTGTGCTCAACCTGGGCCTGCCATGGTGGGACCTGAGGAGGACAGAAGTCCCTCAGCAGTGTCACATTCGTACCAGAACTGGCATCACACCACCCATGAGACATGGAAGCCCACCTGCTGCCCATCCCCACCTTCACACGCACTGTCCCCATGGTGTCACATCCACCAGGTGCCAGCCGGGCCATGTGTTGGATGGCAGACACTGGGAATGGGCACCAGGACAGTAATAGAAGCCTTGGAGGACCCCATACCCGTTTGGGGGGTGATGCCACCAATCAGAGCCCCATCCCTCCACCCATGATCTCCCATGGCTCTGGCAGTGCCCACCCCATGACCCCACACCCCCACCCTACCCTTGTCGTTGAGCTCGTAGGTGCGGATGATGGAGCGGGCCTGGCGCAGGCTGCAGTCCTCGCCCTGGTCCCTCAGGAAGTCCTGCAGCTCCTCAGCCGACAGGACCCGGTCCTCGCCCGAGTAGCGCCCGAAAAGCTCCTCCAGCTCCGGGCGCCGCAGCAGCCGCCGGCAGAACTCCTCCAGCTCCCGGCCCTCCAGCCGCTCGTTGCCCGAGTGGTCACACTCCTGGTGGCACAGCCCAGCCTCAGGGACTGTCCCCTCCCTGTGTTGATGGGGTACAGCCATCCCCTGCCTTGTTCTGCCTGTCCCCTGGGGTGGGCAGGGTGTGTGGGACAAGTTTGGGGGGCTCAGCTACTGCCCCCTCTGTTCCCCCAGCCAGAGCCCTCTGACCCTCCACTCTGGGGTGGAACAGAGCAGAGCTCCGTGCCTCAGTTTCCCTAGGTGGAAAGGGACCTTGGGAGATGCCCAGAGAAACAGTTCTCCATGGGGGAGAAATGTCCCACCTTGGGGACACACAGAACAGTGGCTGGGACAGCTCAGCCCACCTCACCCCTCTCCACCATGTGCTCCTGGTGGGACCCAACCCTTGGTGGCAGTGGGTGGCTTTGGTGTGAGGAGTTTGTCAGTTCTCTGTGCTGGGGAAGGCAGAGAAGGAGCCAGTGGATGGTGCAGCTCAGGACAGGTACCTTGAAGAGCTTGGAGGCGTAGACATCGTCCATGTCGATGTTGAGCATCCTCAGCATGCTCTTCACCTCCCGGAAGGACATCTTGTTGTCCTTGTTCCTGTCTGCTCGCTGCAGGACCCCATGGATCCAACTGCACCGGGCTAAGGAAACCTCCCGGTGTCACCTGCAGCCGTCCCCACCCTGTCCCCAAGCTCCCCTTGAAGGATATTGGTCGAGCTTCTCCATCTGGCTCATGGCCTGCAGCCGCCCCATCAGCTTGGTGAGCCCCTGCACCCAGTGCCGCGCGTCCTCCTCGCCGCGGGCGGCCAGGTCGAGGTTCTTGCGGCGGCCCTTGAAGGCGAGGGTGAAGCAGTGGCGCTCGGGGAAGGCGGCCCCGTGCTTGCGCAGCCCCTCCGACCGGCGACCGTCGCGCACCGCCTCGATGTGCGCCACCGAGACTGCGGGGACACGCGCGGGGTGGGGAGGGACGATGGACGTGCTCCCCCGGCGGGTCACCCACCCGCGAGCATCCTGCAAGACACCCTGGCTGCTGATGGACACCCGCGCGTCCCCGCGGCGCCCCCGGCACCGGGCTGGGCTCGGCGGAGCCGCTGCCGGGCTGAGCCCGCTAATCCCAGGCGGGACGGGAGCCGTGCCCGCTGTCCCTGCGGGGATGGGGACGGGGACGCTGGCAGGGGACGGAGCAGCCGTGCAGCGGTGCCAGCTCCAGGCACCCATCCCAGATGAGGGTGGAAAGAGGCGGGTGACGCCGGGGAGGGGGGATGGAGTCTGGCTGGGATGGAGAGCGGACCTTGTGCTGACCCCGGGGGGATGGGGAAGGGCGGGGGCTCTTACAGCTACACACGGGGTGTACTGGGAGGCACTGGGAAGGGTTGGGAGGCTCTGGGAGCCACTGCATGAAGGGTGCTGGAGTTCAGGTATTGGGTGGGGGTCTACATCATAGCTCAGGTGAGGGTCTGGACCAAAGGCTTGGGGTGCAGGATTGGGGTTTGGGTGCTGGCTGGGAGTCTGTGTCCTCAACTGGGGTCCGAGTGAGGGGGATGTCAGGGTCGTGGGTGGGGATCAGGCTCCAGGTCACAGGTGGGGAGCCAGGCAGGGATCTGGGCCCAGGGGCATCTGGGACACCGGTGGGGTCTGGATTGTGGAGTTCCATGTCCGAAGATTGGGTCTGGTTCTCACTGGGGGATCTGGGCTGGGATCTGGGTCCTGGGTTGGGGTCTGGAACTCAGGGGGGATCTGGGTTCTGAGTGGGGACCCAGGCCATGGGTGGGGGTCTGGGAACTGGGCTGTGGTCAGGATCCAGGTGGGGTTCTGGATGCTGGGAATGGATCTGGGTCCTGGGTGGGGCTGCAGGTCCTGGGGTAGGGTCTGGATTCCAGGTGGGGGTCCTGGGTTGGGGTCTGGATCTCACATGGACATGTCCATATCTGGATTCTGTGTGGGAACCCAGACCAAGGTTGTGGACTAGGTCCTGGATTGGCATTGGGGCTCCAGGTGGGGATCTGGGTAAGGGTCAGGTCCTTGGTGGGGTCTAGGGGTGGGTCTGGGGCCCTGCCCAGCTCCTGGCCCTCCCTGCAGCTGAGGGCAGCGCAGGCTGTGTCTCGGTGTCCCCGAGCCCTGTGGGACAGTGCCAGCACTCACAGCTCTGGGGGGAGCGGGCGCCCCGGAAGCGTCCCTCGAAGCAGACGGTGACCCCGTCCTCCTGCAGGCGGAACAGCCGCGCCCTGGAGCCTCCCCTGGCCTTCACCTTCCAGAGCAGGGACCCCTGGAGCATCCGCTGCACATCCTCATCCTCCGTCAGGCCTGCGGGGACAGCCCTGGGCTACCGAGGGCTCTGGGGGTACTGGGGGCATGGGCTGGGGGGAGCTGGTGCACATCTGGGTGCACATCTGTATCCAATGGGATGGCATGGGACAAATGGGACAGGAGGGATGGGATGGGATGGGATGGGATGGGATGGACAGGAGAGGCTGGTGGGGTGGGACATGAATGACACAATGTGACAATGCAGATGAGAAAAGATGGGACAAATAGGACTGGACAGGAGGGGGTGGGGCAGTCTGACTGGACTAGATGGGACACAGTGGGCAGGACAGGATGGGACAGGTGAGCAGGGACAAGATGAGGCAGATGGGATGGGATGGAACAAACAGGTTGGGACGGGATGGAACACAAAGGGGATGGAATGGGACAGGACAGGCAGGAGAGGACAGACAGGACAAGCCACTGCCCTGGGCCCCTTTGGAGCTGTTCAGGGGGGACAGGACACAGCAGTGACACAGCTCAGCTGCTAAATCCCAGCAAAGCTGCCCAGATCCTGCATGGAGAGTGCCAGGACGGTGCCAGCAGCAGAGCTCAGGCTGGGAACAATGACAGGGTGGACTCGGGGGACTCGTGGGCCCACGCCTCAGCCGGGATTTTTCCGTCTCTTCACGGAGTGGTTATTTCCTCCCTTTATTGTTTCGGCAGCCATTCCTGGGATCTCCAGTGGCCACGTCCTGCTCTGCATGGAGATTCCACTCCTGGGCTGGGAAAGGTTGGCTTGGGGACTTCTGGGGACCTCCTGAGCCACCATGGCCCCGGGCATGCAGCCACCAGCTGCCAGCACCTCCTGCATGGTCACATCCTGCCCAAGGTGCAGGATGGAGGGTATGGGGTGCGGGGACATGGCTGCAGGAGCATGGGGCTGCAGGGATGTAGGGACACATGGATACAGGTCCTTGGGCACAGGGATGGGCACATGGATACAGGTCCCTGGGCACATGGAATGTCAGGTCTGTGGGCACTGGTGTGTGGGTGCACAGACACCGGGGTGCAGTGTGCTCGTGGATGTACAGACACAAGGACACGTGGATGATGGATACAGAGATGCAGAGATGTGTGAGTACATGGATCTGCTGATGGAAGGACAGACAAACACAGGGACATGCAGGCAGGTGCATGCACAGGTGCATGGATGCATGGACACAGGCACATCTGGGCACAGGGACACAGCTGCTCTGTCACACAGAGTCACAGTGGACACAGGGATGCACTGACAGAGTCATGGATGCAGGGATGCATGGATCCACAGGTGCATGGATGCACTGCTGCCAGGACACACGGACATGGGGGCACATGGGGGCATGAGCATTGGGATGCACGGACAGTCAGACACACGGACATGCATGGACATAGGGGTGGGTGCTCCCAGACACAGCCCAGGGGAGACATGGACACACAGGGGCTGGGGTGCAGGGACAGATGGACCTGTGGATGTAGAGATAGAGAGGTACAGGGACACATGGACACATGGACACATGGACATAGAGGTACAGGGACAGATGGACACATGGATGTGTGGATACAGAGTTGCAGGGACAGATGGGTGCAAGGACACAGAGCCACAGGGACACACAGACACACGGACGTGGACACACGGAGCTGCAGCAGCTCCAGGCACACGGCCCCGTGTCCAAAGCTGGGGACACAAGGCCAGACCCGGCCCCTCCCGCTGCTCCCACTGCGGGCTGGCCGCTCCCAGGGACACGCCCTGACCTTGCCGGGCACCCCGGCCCTGCCTGACTGGTGAGCCCCGTGTGCCCACTGCCAGGGCAGCAGCCTCGGTGGGGAAACTGAGGCAGGGTGTTGGGGAGGGTCCTGGGGAGTGGGACCTGAGCCTTGGGGACAATAAATGCCCTGAACAAGGGGGCTCCTGTCACCTGTGATGTGGCCAAACCCAGACCCCACTGTTCCCCAAAGGCTGGGGTGATGCACAGCTATTTTGGGCGGGCCGCAGGGACCCCTCCCCTCCCGGGGGACCCCTCCCTGCTGTGGGGGAACCCATCCACCTCGGGAACCCTCCCAGTCAGGGGCACCCTTCCGTCCCTGGGGACCCATCTCAGCCATGGGGGCCCCCCCTGCCCTGGGGACCTGTTCCCGTCACAAGGGTCCCCCCCACTTCGGGGACCCTCCCGGGCACGGAGATCCCTCCCGGACCCCTCGGCCCAGCCCGGGCGGAGTTTCTGCCCGGTTCCTGCCGAACTCACCCATTTTCTTCAGGGCTCTCCCGGGCCGGCGGGAGCCACCGGCGCCTTCAGACGGGGCGCGGAGCTGCTCGGCGGCGGGGCGCGCCTTCCTGCCGCAGATCATGACCGGGACCCCCGGCACCGCCGGTGCCGCCGCTATTGCCGGTGTTCCGGGACTCCGGTGCTCTCGGTGCTCCCGGTGCCCCGGCTGGTTCTGCTGCTCCCGGTACGCCCGGTGCCCCCGGCCGGTGTAACCGGGCTGGGCGGTGGCGGAGGTCGGGGCTGGGGCTGGGCGGCCGGGCCGTGACCGGGGCCGGCCGCGGGGAGGGAGCGGGAGGAGCCACACCGCAGCCCGGCCGCTGTTAACCGTTTGTGCCGGCCCGGGGCTGCCGGGGCTGACCGGGACGGGACCGAGCTGCGCCGGGCTCGTTCTGCTCCGCGGCTGCTTCGGCACCGGCACCGGGCCGGGTCCCGACGTGCCCCCGGTGTTCGCTCTGTGCGGCGGTCCCGCTGTGTCCGAAGGGCCGGCGGGGACAGACCGGGGGTCCCCACTGCCCCCCGCGGGTCCGCCTGCACCGGGCACCGGCCCAGGGAGCCTGGCGCTGCCAGGGAGCCGGGCTCGGCCGGTCACCGGCGGGAGCCCCCTCTGCCCGGGGCCAGCGCCGCCCTGGCAGCGCCGGTGGGCACCCAGGGCATGCCCAGGGCACCGGGGACCCGGTCCTGCCGTGCCAGCCCTGTCCCCAGCTCATGGCCTGGGTGGCACCGGGCTGAGGGCCGCAGGCAGGGACTGGGACCTCCAGGTGACTGTCCCCACCGTGGGACACCCCGGGAGGGGCAGCAGCGTCAGCGGGGAGGTGCCAGTCCCAGAGCCCCGAGTGTGAGAGTGTGAGGTGAGAGTGAGAGTGAGAGTGTGTGTGTTTGTGTGTGTGTGAGTGTGAGTGTGAGAGTGAGTGAGAGTGTGTGTGAGTGTGTGTGTTTGTGAGTGTGAGTGCATGTGTGTGTTTGTGTGTGTGTGAGTGTGAGTGTGAGAGTGAGTGTGAATGTGTGTGAGTGTGTGTGTTGTGCATGTGTGTGTTTGTGTGTGTGTGAGTGTGAGAGTGAGTGTGAGAGTGTGTGTGTGTGAGTTTGTGTGTGTGTGAGTGTGTTTGTTTGTGAGTGTGGATGTGCAGCCACGCTCACACAGACCCCAGAAGGGTTTAGGGTGGGAAAGACCCCCGGGATCACCGAGTCCAGGCTGTGCCTGACCCCCCTTGTCACCAGCCCAGAGCACGGAGTGTCACATCCAATGGTTCTTGGGCACCTCCAGGGCTGGACACTCCAAACCTTCCTGGGCAGTGCCAAGGCCTGATCCCCCTTTCCATGGGGAAATTCCTGCTGCTGTCCACCCTGAGCCTGCCCTGGCCCAGCCTGAGGCCGTTTTCCCCCAGCCACCCTTGAGGGTGGTGGGGCAGGGAGGGATGAGTCACTTCAGGCTTTTCCAAAAATCCAGTGTCCAGGGGAGCAGGGAGGCCACCCCAGGCCTGGCTGGGCTGTGGGGACCAGGAGCTCCAGGACAGGAGGAGGAGGTGACTTTCCCCAGTGCCAGGGCCACAGGGGTGCTGCCAGCCCCTGGGCATCCAGGGGTGAGAGCAGGGCAGACTGGAGCAACATCTGGGCAACATCTGGGCACGGTGAGTAATACTGAGTGTCCTGGGGTGACATCTGGGCACTTAGGGCAGCATCTGGGTACCCTGGGGGATGGGGGAATACACTGAGGGAACATCTGGGCATCCTGGGTGTGTCCTGAGCAACATCTGGGCACCCAGAGCAACCACTGGGGACTCCTGGGACCATCTCTGCTTATCCCAGAGCAACATCTGTACATGCAGGGAGACACCTGGGCAGCCTCTGAGCAGCCTGGGACAGAATTTTAGTGCTGTAGTTCAAGACCTGAGCAGCTCCTGCAACATCTGGGCAGCTGGAGACACATCTGTGCAGTCCCTGGGCTGTGTTTGGGGGGGATAAAGCTCTTCCTGAAGAGTTTGGGGACAGAGGGACACCGGAGCCACCCCAAAAATGCACTTGCAAGCCACATAACCGGGCTCTGCTCCAAGCTCTCTTCCTCCCATGGAAGCTGCATTCCCAGGAATTCAGCAGCAGATGCCTCGCCCGGGTGGAATGAGCAGGATAAACACCTCTGGCTGCAAAACCCGCGGCACAACAAATCCCTGCGCGGTCCCTCCCCTCCCGCGGCGTTGCTATTTTCTCCCGGCCGCCAGCGGGTTGGAAGGGATCCCGTGGAAAGCGGGATCGCATTCCCGGCCGCTTATAGCGCAGCACGTGTGCCGTGAATCAGCGCTCGGGATTCGCCGCCCTTCCCAGCAGGAATCCTGAGTCAGGGCTTGGAAATGGCCGGAGGTTTAAGAGATTTTATTGCTTGTATTTCATTTATTTATTAGTTTTTCATTCTTTATTTCATTTGTTTGCCTTCAATTGGCAAAGGAAATGTTTCCCCAGGCGATGTGGATGTGATTTAGGAGGGTTGGGAGGTGTTGACCCACTTGGATTTGGGGTTTGGAGATGGGGTTAAGGTTGGAAAATCGGAGTGGGAGGCAAGGATGAAGGCAGCACAGGGATGCTGAAAGCTGCTCTGCATCCCAATCCCAGCATCCTGGGCCAGGCTGGATCCAGGTGGTCCCCAGGGCACCCCAGAACCTCTCACCCCGCTGGGGCACCTTGTTCTGCCAGGTCACATGTGTCCCCGTGTCCCCACAGCTCCCTGCCTCAAAGAAAGCCCTTGGAGCAGAGGGGCTTCACCCTGGGGGCTCAGGGACCCCAAATTCTGCCCCTTCCTTACTACCATAATTAATTAATTTGGATAATAATTAACAGTGGTTAAAAGCATACAGTGAATAAAAGAACAGGGGATAAAATTGGATAATAATTAACAATTGCTCTGCCTGACCCAGCTGTCCCCTCTCCTGCCCGGTGGCCCGGTGGCACTGTCCCAGTGCCATGTTCCAGATCCCAGTGCCATGTCCAACCCTCCCAGTGCAGTGTCCCAGTCTCCTGGTCCCTTCCCCTGGCACCTTTGGTACGTGGCTCCATTGTCCCTGTCCCCATCGCACTGTCCTGGTGTCACACTGCATGGCCCCAGTGTCCCCATGCACGGCCCCAGGATCCTGGATGATTTATCACAGAATTCCAGGATGGTTTGGGTTGGAAGGGACCTCAAACCCACCCAGTGCCACCCCTGTCATAAGCAGGGACACCTTCCACTGTCCCAGGTGGCTCCAAGCCCTGTCCAGCCTGGCCTTGGGCGCTGCCAGGGATCCAGGGGCAGCCACAGCTGCTCTGGGCACCCTGTGCCAGTGTCCCAAAGCATCCCAGCAGCCCTTCCTGCCTGCCCTGTCCTGCTGCACAGCCCAGGTGGCACCCCCAGCACTGTCCCTGTGCCTGCTGCAGTGTCACAGAACTGTGCCACCACCCCATGGCGCTGTCCTCCTGCACAGGGTCCCTGTGCCAGGGCTGGGTCCCACACCTGGGCTCTGGCCCGGGCACAGCCTCGCTGCTCCGGGGTGCTGGGCACTGTCCCTAGACACCGTCCCACTGTCCCCTGTCCCGGTGCAGTGTCCCCGGGCACTGTCCCCATGCCTGTCTGGGTGCACCCATCCTGGTGCACAGTTTCTCTGTCCCTGTGTCCTGTTTCACTGTCCTGGTGTGCTGTTCCTGTCCTGTGTCTCACTGTCCCATTGTCCCTGTGTCTCTCACTGTCCCACTGCCCTGTGCTGCTATGCCACTGTCCCTGTCTGGCTGTCCCTGTCCCACTGTGTCTGTCCCAGTCCTGCTGTCCCTGTCCCTCTCTATCTGTCCCTGTCCCTATCCCTGTCTCCATCCCTGTCCCAGTCCCCCTGTCCCAGTCCCACAGCCCCTGTCCCTGTCCCTCTGTCCCTCTGTCCCTGTCCCAGTCACACTGTCCCCATCCCTATTCCTCTGTCCCTCTGTCCCTGACCCCATCCCTGTCCCCCTGTCCCCATCCCTGTCCCCCTGTCCCTGTCCCAGTCCCTCTGTTGCTCTCTCCCTGTCCCTATCCCTCTGTCCCCCTGTCCCTGTCCCTGTCCCCCTGTCCCTCTGTCCCTCTGTCCCTGTCCCTGTCCCTCTGTCCCTCTGTCCCTCTGTCCCTGTCCCTGTCCCTCTGTCCCTCTGTCCCTCTGTCCCTGTCCCTGTCCCTCTGTCCCTCTGTCCCTCTGTCCCTGTCCCTGTCCCTCTGTCCCTCTGTCCCTCTGTCCCTGTCCCTGTCCCTCTGTCCCTCTGTCCCTCTGTCCCTGTCCCTGTCCCTCTGTCCCTCTGTCCCTCTGTCCCTGTCCCTGTCCCTCTGTCCCTCTGTCCCTCTGTCCCTGTCCCTGTCCCTCTGTCCCTCTGTCCCTCTGTCCCTGTCCCTGTCCCTCTGTCCCTCTGTCCCTCTGTCCCTGTCCCTGTCCCCAGCTCTGCAGTCCCTCCCGTCCCCGCCAGGCGGAGCCCTCCCCTCGCTCCGCGCTCTGCCCTGTCCGGCCGGCAGGGGGCGCGCGCGCCGCGCTGAGCGCCTGGAGCGCAGGGGAGGGAGGGGCCCGTTCCGGGAGCCGCGCGCTGATTGGGCGCGGCGCGGAGGGGGCCGATGTAAAGCTCACGCTGATTGGGCGCAGCGCGGAGGGGCCGATGTAAGGAGGTCGCTGATTGGCCGCGCGCTGTCCCCGCACGGAGAGGGAGCCGCGGCGGGCCGGGCCGGGCCGGTGCGGGGCCGGTCCCGCCATGGAGGAGCCGGGCTGCGGGGCGCAGTTCCGCGCCGCCGTGCAGGTGATCCAGGGGCTGCCGCGGAGCGGTGAGTAGGGGCCGGGAGCGGAGCCGGGCGGCCGCCGCGGGCCGGCCCCGCTGACCGTGTCCCGCAGGTGCGTACCGGCCCTCCTACGAGGAGATGCTGCGCTTCTACAGCTACTACAAGCAGGCGACGGCGGGGCGCTGCCAGGGCCCGCGGCCCGGCTTCTGGGACCCCATCGGCCGCTACAAGTGGTAAGGGGGGGGTCCCGGTCCCGCTCCGGTCCCGCTCCGGAGGGCCCGGCCCCGCTGACGGCCCCGGCCCCGCAGGGACGCCTGGCACAGCCTGGGCGGGATGTCCAAGGAGGAGGCGATGGCCGCGTACGTGGCGGAGATGAAGAAGGTGGCCCAGAAGGTAACGGGGCGGCGGCGGGGCCGGGCCGGCGCTGCCCGGTGCCCGTGCCCAGCCGCGGCCCTCCGCAGGTCATCGACACCGTGCCCATGGACGAGAGCACGGAGGAGATGTTCCGCTACTTCGAGCCGCTCTACGAGGTGATCCACGACATGCCGCGGCCCCCCGAGTCCTTCTTCAGGAGGAAAGGGGGTGAGTGGGGCCGCTGTGCCCCGGCCGTGCCCGGCCTCCCCTGCCCGCCGTGCTGCGCTCCCGCTGGCACCGGCTCCGGTTCGTCCCCGAGGGGACACGGGGTGGGCACATCCCAGCGACCCTGCCGGGCTGCTGCTGGGCTCTGTGGGCAGACCGGTGTCCCCGTGTGTGACACTGGTGTCCCTCTGTGTGACATTGGTGACCTCTGTGTGACTCAGGTGTCCCCTTGTGTGACACTGGTAACTCTCTATGTGACATTGGTGTCTGTCCCCCTGTGTGGCACTGGTGTCCCCATGTGTGGCACCAGTGTCCCTGTGTGTGACAGAGGTGTCCCTGTGTGTGACACTGGTGACCCTCTGTGTGACTCAGGTGTCCCCTTGTGTGCCACCGCTGTCCCCGTGTGTGACACCACTGTCCCCGTGTGTGACACATGCTGGGCTTTCTGTCCCCAAGCTGCGAGCGATGACTGGAGCCCTGTCCCCGGTCCCGCGGGCAGGGCAGGGCAGGGCAGGGCTCGGGGGCTGTGCTGCCCTTGGCACCGGCCCACGCCGGGCAGGGCTCCGGGCCAGCTGCTGGAAACATCTGGACAGGCCGGGCAGCTCCTGCGTGGAGGGGAGCGGAGACACAGGGCTTGAGAAATGGGGTTATTTGCAGGGGTTTGTGCTGGAGGAGAGCCCTTCCTGGCCCTGTCCGTGCCTCTGCTGCCCGGAGGGGCTGGGGAGCTGTCCCCGTGCAGCGCTGGCCTGGCTGCCGGGGGGTCAGGGGGGCACCGCAGGGGCTTCCAGGGTGAAGCAGTCCGGGTGTGTGACCTGCCAGTGGTGCAGAGCCCTGGCAAACACACTCACACCCAGGCATCTGTGCTGTGCCTGTCAGCCCTGCTTCCCACCAAAACCAAATGGGACTTTTTGGGATGCCAAAACCAGTTGTGTGTAAAGCTGCTCCTTCCTCTGGTGCCCAGGTGCTTTGTTCTCCATTTTGATGCTGAATCCCTTGAAAAGGCAGACTTAGTTTTTTTCTCTGAAATTTAAAAGCTGTGTCTAACTGGTCATTATCCACTTGGGAGTGTCACTTACAGGTGACATTGTCACTTAAATCTAAACCTGGTGGAACAATGAGCCCGAGGTGGCTGGAGCTGAGGTGCAAAGCACTGAGCTCCTCAAGGTGTTGAGTCATTTGTGTTAAAGGCTCCCAAACTCGCCTTCAGACTCTGCAATCACAGCTTTGGTTGCTCCTAACTGGAGCAGAAAGGAGATTTCAGAGTGTGGAGCATGGCAGGTGCCTCCAGCAGCTTTTGGGCACAGAGCTGAGGCTCTGGGCAGCTTTGGTTTTGTTTATTTACAAAGACAACACGTTATAAAGTGGCACTTGGAACCCAAATCATGGATGGATCCAGATCCCACCAGGTCTCCAGGGAGTGGGGCTTTCAGCAGGGTCTTGTGAACGTGGTGGCTGGAGCCAGGTCTGTCCTGGTGCTCTGTGGGGTGACAGGAGCCACACTCTGTGGGTCACAGCACACCCTGAGGAGGATTTGGGAATGGGGAGGAGGATTTTAGGAATTTGAAGAGGATTTGGGAGGATTCCAGAGCAGGGCAGCCCTGGCAGTCCCCCTGTGTCAGTGCAGCTGCCTTGTCCCCTCAGTTGGTCCCCTGTGACGCTGAGGACAGGCTGGGGACAGCGGAGAGGTGAGGGAAGGAGCAGCAGGGCAGCGTTGCCACACACCTGCCTGCCCAGGAGCAGGGAGCAAAGTCCTGGGGGCTGCTGGAAACCTGGCTGGGATTAACCCCGTGGGCTCCACAGGGTGCTGGGGAGGGCTGGGGCCTGTCAGGTCCTCTCAGGGTGCTGCTGGCCCAGGTCCTTGGGGTGCTGCTGGCCCAGGTCCTTGGGGTGCTGCTGCCCACACAAGGCTCCTCCAGCCAGTGCCTCTTGCCTTGGGCTCTGTCACCGTGGGTGTGCCCTGGGCTGTGGGCACTGCCAGGGGACAGCACTGTCACTGTCACTCACCATGCTGATCCCTCTGCCTGCTGCCCCAGGGGCTCAGGGACAGGGACACCCCAGGCAAGGTGAGCAAGGTGTTCTGCACAGGGTGAGCCCAGGTGGGTTCCTGGGCTCTCAGCAAACAAACCTGGCTCCTCTCCTTCCCTGCCAGCTGCTGGCACCTCCAGAGGCTGCTGCTCCCTGGCTGCTCCCTGACATTCCCACAGCCAGCCCAGCCACAGGGAGCCAGCACAGCCAGGACAGCAGGACTGAGCCCACAGAATGACCCAGCTCTGCCTTTCCCTCCGTGCAGAGAGCCAGGGGCAGCAGGATGGCCCCAGCCAGGATGGCACAGCGAGCAGCCCAGCTCCAGAGAGCCCCAGAGACCCCGGGCCCGGCCAGCAGCAGCACGGGCAGCACGTGCCAGGTTGGTGTCCCTGCTGTGGCCAGCACCTGGCAGAGCCCTTGGAGCAGCACGGGCTGGGGCTCCATCCCCCCACGGAGCTGTTGGCTCCAGGCACCTCTGCTCCAGCCCCGGGTGCTGCGGGCACTGCCCAGGTCACGGCTCCAGCTCTCACTGGGGTTTCCCTGGACTTGTGGGGTTGGCTCTGCCTCCCTCCTGCCTGTGCAGAGGGGCCACAATCTGCTGAACTGCAGGGACAAGGGGAGGCTGTTGCCTGTGGGCTGGGAAATATCACCCTGTGAGGTCTGTGATCCATGAGGGGATGTTCTCCCGTGCCTCAAGACACGTTTGCTGCTTCCTTGGCACTGGGATTCACAGTGCCAAGCTCTGGCTTTTCTCTCACAGCCCCTTGTGCAGTCACCCCCTCCCTCCCTGTGCTCCCCTTGAGGGCCCCTGGCTGTGCCCTGAGGTGGGCAGGGTGCTGCAGGGAGGTTCCTCCTCCTGCTGCCACTCCAGCCTTCCCCCAGGAGCAAATATGGTCACGGAGCGAGTGCCAGTGTGCCAGCTGTGCCAGCAGTGCCCAGGGAGCTGGGCAGTGTCCCTGCCTGTGTCACTGCTGCCCAGGGCCCATGGGTGCTGTGCCAGTGGGACACCGTGGGCAGCAGAAGGGGGAGTTCAGTCCTTGCCATGTTAACAGAGCTGCTTCTGCCCCCCCAGTGCCTCAGTTTCCCTCTCCAGCCTCGCCCTGGGCAGGCTCATCCCCTCTTCCCCCTGTGCCCTCGGACACAGCCGGGCACCCCTGCCCTGCCCAGGGCTCAGCCCTGTGCTTCCCTTCCAGGAGCTGGGCTGGCTCCTGCCCCCGAGGGGAGCCAGGTGACGAGTGACTCTGAGGGGGACACGTTCAGTGACACCCTGGAGCAGATGGAGCCGGAGAAGGTAACGGAGGAAGCGCTGGAGGCTTTGCCACCCCTGCCCTGCCCACTCTGCACAGCAGCACCAGCCTGGGAGCCTCATAAAACCTGCAGGGACACCCTCCTGCACCTCTCCGTGCGTCGTGTCACTCCTGGAGCCTGGTCCCTGTCACTGGGGGGATGCTGAGGAGCCTCCCCAGCCCCCCCATTCCTGTGGTGAGGCTCTGCTGGGGCGCTGGGGGCTGGTGGGGCTGGGCAAGACCAGCAGCTCCACACGGGTGCCACCATCTGGATTGTTCCCCTGCCACTTCTGGCACACTTTTGGCACTTGTGCCATGCTGAGGCCTGGTGGGTCTGGTGGAAGGAGGAAGGAAGCCCCCCTCTTTTGCCACCTCACCTCTGGGCACCTCACTCCCCTCAGGTGTCACCCCCCAAGCCAGATGCTGGCTGGTGTCACCACTGGGATTCAGCCTCACTCAGTCCCCTCCACTCCCAAAACTGCCACCACAAGAGAAGGACTGCACTGCTGCCCTGGCATTGCCCTCCCTGCCCTGGGAGGGGAGTGGGGGTCTCAGGGCCCTTCTCTCCCCTCTCACAGGCCGGGCAGGTGCAGGGGCTCACTCCAAAGGGGGCCCAGGCTGGGGCTGAGCCCCCAGAGCCCCAGAGTGCTGGGCAGGGCGAGCGGGGCGAAGGCAGAAGAGCCGAGGGGAGCAGCAGCAGCACAGACCTGCCAGCCCTGGGCTCCGACACAGGTGGGTGCAGAGCTTGTCCCTGCGCCCCTTCCTGCTGCTGCCCACCTCCCGTGGGCTGGGGGGTGGGCTGGGGGCTGCCACCACCCCCATGGGACTGAGTTTGGCTCCAGCACCTGTGGTTGGGTCATCAGGAGCTGAAGAAATCCACAAGTGTCTGCATCCCTTGGCCCCAAGCAGCTCAGCCCTTCCTTTGCCCATTTCCTGCTGTGGTACTGCATTGCCTGAGTTTGGAGGGTGCTGTGCTGGCCCTTCAGCAGCCAGGCAGGGGCTGCAGGGCCCTGGATCCCCGTGCCCAGCTCCTGCCCCTGATCCAGCTACACCAGCAGTGCCTTCGGATGTGGGCGGTGCCACGGGTGAGCTCTGCCCAGCAGGGCAGGGGTGAAGCTGGGCCCTGTGCCCTGGAGGCCTTGGGGACAGCAGTGCCACTCACCTGATGCCACCCAGCACTGCTGCTGGTGTCTGGGGAGCACCAGGCCTTGAGCTGTGCCACTGCAGGAGGAGCCTCCTGCCACCCTCTGTGCTGTGCCCAGACATTCTGGGCTACCCTGGGGTGGCATTGCCACCCTCACCCGTGGGACTGGTGCCATTGCCTCACCTGGGCACAGCCCACGTGTCTCAGCCTTTCCCCTGTTACTGTTCCCTTCCGGGCTGCCTGACCTTGGCAGTGAACTTGTCCCCAGGCCGGGCTGGGCTGTCCCCAGGGCTGGCAGCAAGTCCCTGCCCGTGTCCTGCTCACTGCTTGGATTATCCAGGTGTTTGCCAGGCTGGTTTGGGGCCTTTGCTGGGCCCGGGGGCAGCCAGGGAGGAGCTGCCCTGGCCCTGGGTGTCCTGCCCGGTGGTGGCAGGTGTCACCAGATGTCACCAGGTGACCCACACGCACCGCAGCACCCACCCCGTTGGTGGGCTGGCCACCCACTGCCACCACCACGGCACTGGAGTGTCCCAGTGGTGCATGGCCCTGGGGACAGCCTTGCTGGGGCTGCCGGGCTGGGCTGGCAGCGGCTGCGGGGCAGGCAGCCCACGGCAGATGCCCCGTGGGAGTCGCTGCTCACCGGTGGGTGACAGCACGGCGGGGGGAGCAGTGCCAGCCCCGGGGCTCCTCGGGCGGTGCTCAGCCTGCCCTGCCAGCCGTGTGCCCGTCGCTGTGCCCGCAGGTGTGCGGCCGGCCGGGGGGGACCCCGCGAGCGGCCCCGAGCCGGCCCCGGGGCTGGCGGAGCTGGAGGCGCACGTGGGCAGCGCGGTGCGGGCGCTGCAGGAGGAGCTGCGGCGGGTGCGGGAGCGGCTGAGCCGGCTGGAGACGCTCGGCATTTTCCAGGTGCGGCTGGGGACAGCGCTGGGACCCCGCACCGGGACAGCAGGGCTCCGCTGCGGGCCCTGCGACACGGCTGGCCCCGGTGTGGGGACCCCCCGGCGCTTGGTGGTGACAGATCCTGGCGGGGCGCGGCTGGTGGCGCCTGATCCGGCCCACGGCGGCAGGAGCTGCTGCCCCTCGCTGCCGCTGCCCCCTCATTCCCACTGACCCGTTCATTCCCTCTGCCCCCCTCGTTCCCACTGCTCCACTCATTCCCACTGCCTGCCTCATACCCATTGCCCTGCTTAGTCCCACTGCCCCCCTTCCCTCATTCCCACTGACCCGCTCATTCCCTCTGCCCCCCTCGTTCCCACTGCCTGCCTCATACCCAGTCCCCCCGTCATTCCTGCTGCCCCCTCATTCCCATTGCCCCATTTATTACCACTGACCCGCTTATTCCCTCTGTCCCCTCATTCCCACTGCTCCCCTCATTCCCTCTGCCCCCCTCATTCCCATTGCTCCACTTATTCCCACTGCCCCCCTCATTCCTGTTTCCCCCTCAGTCCTGCCTCCCTCAATCTTGTTACCCCTCATTCCCATTTCCCCCCTCATTCCCACTGCTCCCCTCATTCCCTCTGCCCCCTCATTCCCATTGCCCTGCTTATTCCCACTGCCCCCCTCATTCCTGTTTCCCCCTCATTCCCACTGTCCCCCTCATTCCCACTGCCCCCCTCTTTCCCCCCAGGGTCCTGGCCCAGCTGCACCATCTGATCCCTGGCAGGAGCCCTGCACGGCCTCTCCAGGCCGTTCCCTCCCTCTCCAGGGGCACAGGGGCTGGCAGGGGGGTGCCAGCCCCAGCTGCACCCCAAACCCTCTCCTGTCTTGCAGGGGGAGGCAGCTGGGACAGAGCTCGGCCCGGCACTTGCTCCACAGGTGAGCTGGGGCTGAAGGAAGCGCTGTGGGGTGGCCCTGCTGTCCCCCTGCCCACCCCACAGCCCACGGGGGTGTGGGGACACAGCTGGAGGAGGTCAGGGGAGGGACCCCCAGGTGGGGAGCAGGTGACATCCATGGGGACACATCCCGTGTGAGGCGGTGTGATGCACCATCTCCAGAGGAGGAGGGACGTGACCAGGACACCGAGCAGTGGCGGTGGTTCCTTTCAGCAGAGGGCTGGGGGGTGTTTGTTGCCACCGGTGACACCTTTGTCCCCTTCCCCTCGCCAGGCCGTGTCCCCGTGGCGCCTGACCGTGTCCCCGCGCACGCTGCTCTTCCTGGCCACCTGGCCCTTCGTCACCCAGTGGCTGCTGCGCCACTGGCAGGGCAGGAAGAGGTGACCAGCACCGCGTCCCCGCCGCCACCGCCACCCTCCTCGCCCATCCCGCTTCGCACGGAGCCACGCGGGAATCGCCTCACCAGCCACGGGCTCTGCGGGCCGGGCCCGCCGGGACACCGGCACCGACGCTCAGGGCCGGCACCGGCCCCGGGGCCGCCGCCACGCACAGCCGGAGCAGCAGCAGGACCAGCCGCGGCCCGCGGGGACAGCCCCGGGCCCGTCCCGGCCTCCGGGGGCTGGGACATCACCGAACCTGCCTCAATTAAAGTCGCCTTTTCGGTTCAGCCCCGCTGCCTGTGCCCTGCCAGGGGAGGGGACCGCGGCCAAACGCTCCGGCCCGGCCGCTGTGCCAGCCGGTCACCCCCGGTCCCGGCCGGTCACCTCCCGTGGCTAGAGGTGGCCGTGGCCGCCCTGTCCCCCGCGCAGCAGTCTGTGCCCATGCCCACCCTGAGGGTCCCCCCAGTGCCACCGGGCCGTGCCAGCGCCACCCTGTTCCGGAGGCGGCGGTGGGGAAGCCCCAGGGACCCCCGCGAGCTCCGTGGGCCGGGCTCCGGCGGTGCCCGTGCGGGGGTGCGGGGCGTGGGGCTGGGCAGGGCGGGTTCCCCCGCCGGTGGCACAGCGGTGACACGGGCCCCTCGTTCCGCGGGCCGTGCCCCGCCCGGCCGTGAGGCCGCGGGTGCCCCTGGGGCCCTCCTGTGCTGCTCCCCCCTCACACACGGAGCCCCCCCGGCCCGTCCATGGCTCCCCCAGCCGTGTGTCCCTCAGCGGGGCCCCCAAACCCCTCCAGCCACCCCAAGGCCGCGGCCCCCCCCCGACCCGAGCGTGGGGCCCGAGGGGGACATCGCCACCGTGGCTGGGGGTGGCAGGGGCAGGAATGGGATCGGGACCGGGACCTGCCCATCCCCCTCCTTCCCCGTGCCCCTCCCCCCCGCCCCCCCCAGGCTTCGGGAGCGCGGCTCCGCACCGCCCCTGCAAAAAGGGACGCGGCGCCTTTAAGAAAGAACTTCTTTCCGCTTCGGTTTGTTTACATCTCCCTCCGCCAACTGCAGTACCGCCACACAGCGCCGGGATCCTTCCGCTCGCCCCCTTCCCCCCGGGCCCGTGCACCCCGGAGCCCCTCCCGGCCCCCCCACGGCCTAGCCCGGCCCGGTCCGGCCCGGCCCGGGCCTGTACACCCCCCCGGTCCCGAGGTCGCAGCACCGCCGGCGGAACCTCCGCCGCGCGGGGACTCTTTTCGGACTGTGCTACAACCCCGCGTGGGGGGGGGGACGTGCGCGCTGCCCTCAGCGCGGGCCTGAAGGTCGCGGGGCGCGCGCGGCTCCGCACAGGGGGACTCCCCCGCCTCGTGGTATGGCCCGGTCCCGCCCTCGTCCCCTCGCGATTGGTGGCGGCGCTCAGGAGTGACGCCCATCCCGTCCAATGGCGGTCAGCTCCTGCAACGGCCAGGGGCGTGTCCCGGCGGGCCGGCCCGCCCCCCGCGCCCACCGATTGGCCGCGAGGCGGCACCGCCCGCGCGCTCGGGGCCGTGGCG